GCTTTGATCTGTGTGCCAACACCAGATGCCGGGGGCTCGGTAGTGAGCCTCTGCATACTGCGTCTTCTTCCTGCAGCTTTCTGGCTGGGGACAGACAGGCAGACGTTATATCAGTGTATTGTAACCATCTTCCTGGTCTCAGACATGTGCTGAGGGTGATGGTCTGGAGGAAGCATGAATGGGAGTTACCCAATGGAAGAGGGTGAGGGGAAGGGTGTCTGCTTTGGAGGGACAGCACATACAAAGACTTGGGGGCTAGAAGAGGGCTCAGTACTTCCCAGGAATGGAAAGACAGGAAATGACAACACAGTAGGAGTTTAGAAAGAATGGGAAAGGAGGCTGGGGTAGGTTTCAGTTACCTTTCAGCCTTATTAAGGAATTTGAATGTCATTGTAAGGATAATTAGGAGTCCATCAAAGAGCATGATAGTTTCTGTTGAATGATCCTGCTGATTGCAGTATGGACAACTCTTTAGAGCCATCAGGATAGAACAAGAAATGAGTTCAGAGGTTGTTATTACCGACTGCTCTGACTGGGATTACAGCAGAGGGTCCTGGACCGAGTGGGAGAAAAACTGTAGAACAAAAAATTCACAAAAAATACCCGACTTAACTGGTCTGACAGAGACTGGAGGAACCTCCAAGACTATGGCCCTAAGACACCTTTCTGACCTGGAACTGAAGCCATTCCCGGAGACCAGCTTTCAGCCAAACCGTAGACAAACCCATAAAATACACAGTAACACCCGAGAGGAACGCGCTGCTTAGAACAATCAGTTATATACGATCAAAAGGGCAACAAAGACGAGAAGGCAGAAAGGACTAGAAAATCAGGACGAAAGGAAACGGGGAACCTAGGATGAAAATGGGGAGAGTGCTGACACATTGTGGGGAATGCAGCCAATGTCAAGGATCACCTTATGCATGGGAAACTAATTTGCTCTGTAAACTTTCACCTAATGCACAATAAAGAATTTAAAAAAAAGAAAAGCTACAGGTCTATGAGCTGCCACTGTCATCATAGCCCTGTGGATACGCATATATATGTCTGGAGAAAAGGTCATCAGAAATTGAATTTACATAAACAACTGCTAGCTTTTAAATTGCATTAACTAGTATATTGACTTTTGCCATTTTCTTTGGAAAACAGGTTTTGAGTGAACCAAATCCAGTTTTGTTTTCCAAAAGAATCTGAAAATGGAGTTAGTCCTTCTCTCTGCTAGTTATAAATTAAACACTTGTAAGTGCTAGGAAAATTCAACTCTTATTTTATTGCATTATGATAGGAGAAGAAAAGTATCTGGGTCGTATCATTCTTAAATCCCTGAATTGTTACCACGTCTATAAATCCTTTGAGAATATTGCTGAGCTCAGTCATTAAGGCACCTTTTTAGGGCCCTTCAGTGAAAGCTTTCTCACTAGAGAACTAACTGAAAAACCAAAAACTCATTGGCGTCGAGTCAGTTCCGACTCATAGCAACCCTACAGGGCAGAGTAGAACTGCCCCATAGTTACCAAGGAGTTGCTGGTGGATTTGAACTGCCAGTCTTTTGGTTAGCAGCCCGTAGCACTTAATCACTGCGCCACCAGGGCTCTGCTAGAGAACTAAAGGAGTTATTATTTAACAATTACTCTCACAGATGCAAACAAGAAATCTTGGAGGCAGCTCTGAGTGGACCAACTGCACTTTATGACCGCTATTTGCCAAATTTTTGTTAAGGCTTTTATCCCGTGATTGGAAAATCATCCCTACACAAGTGACTGGTGTCCAAAGAACCGCCTGAGAATGGATGTTGGTCAGACAATTTTAGGAAAGTTTTTTTTTTTTTTTAAACCAGTCAAATAATGCCCAGCATAGTGAAATCTGTAGTTGGTTATTTTTGAAAAATTTTCAAGTATTACTCAAGCAAGCCAAACCCACATTCTGCCTGGCTTTGTATAATTCATTTGGAGTTCATTTTTGCCCTAGGGGGACTCCCTCTGTGTTTCAGTAGATCCTTCACAACTCCAGAATTGTGAAATGTTGTAATCTTTGCCTAAAATGCTTTGCCTTAAAAGTAAAGAGTTTTCAACAACAACAAAAAAGGCTGTTGTGCTGATAATGATGAGAATGATGATTACTTGTGCTGTGGAGTAGCCACGGGGCAAACAGTTGCATAGATTTGGGAGTTCCAGATCTGAGTGAGCATGGTGGGCCTTACCCCTGGCCAAGGAGCCCAGGCAGTCCTCTGTCCCTTGGAGCTTCCTCAAAAATCACAAGGAGAGCAGAAACCACACAGCAAGAGTCACTCGGAGATAGAGCTTAAAGACCAGCTGGCCAGGACTATATTCAGTCAGGGAGAGCGTTTAAAGGACAGCCTTATAAGCAGTTAGGGCAGGCTTGAGATACTGATTCCAGTATGAACCCTGCTCCACCTTTTAAAGCAGTGTGTCCTTTGGCAAGTTACTTCTCTGGAGCTCAATTTGCACTTTTGTAGGGTTAGTGTAGGAATCAAGTGATGTTATGCTTACTAGTGAGACGTAATTGCCACTTAGATAATGAGAGGTCAGAGATGTGCCTGGTACTCAGCCATCACTTAAATGGAAAACTCCTCTTACGACTATCCTTGTCTCCATCATCCTTTTCATCGTTAGTGGAACGTGCTCTTTTATCCCTCAGGCCTTTCTTCCCTTTGTCGTGTTGTCGGGGAACGGCGGACCTAGCCCTTTCTTCACCTTGGAGATTTTTGGTTATGCAGAACTTGTATGCCAAATATTTCCTTTTAGACCTTTTAATATCTTTCCTGCTGGACTGTATTCGTGACTATGAAATGCTAAAAAAAAATGGACAAATTTACTTTTTTAGTTGTTGATTTTCTTTTAAGAATAAAGATAGTAAGCGACTTTGCATTACTCTCCTCTCTTTCTTTGCAAGGGGTAGGAAGAGAGGAGTCATCCCTGAGTGGTGCTTCGCCACTAGCTGAAAGGTCGGCAGTTTGAACCCATCCAGAGGCCCTCAGAAGACAGGCCCGGCAATCTGCTTCCGAAAGGCCACATGCTTCCAAAAGGTCACAACCTTGAAAACCCTGTGGAGCAGTTCTACTCCGCCGGATTGCCGGGAGTTGGAATGGCAACAGACAACCAAGGCAGAGAGGTGGTGGGGGCCAGGGGTTGGCAAACTTACCCCAGGATCAGGTTCCCTAGGCGATTTTGCTTTTGATTTTAACGCAGATTCTAGCACAGACCCTAAAGTAACCTTGCCCTTCCTTTTTATCTGTGGTGTTTTTGCCTCTGGGCCTTGGCATTTACCCACAGCAAGGCCAGCCTTTGGGGATGAAACGCTCTGATCTCAGGCTGGTGTGTAGTTTCTGGCCTCGAGGCTTTCTTCATCTCAAACTTGTCTACTTAGATGTGGAATACTCTGTCATTTTGGGACTTTTTACAGCCCAACTTCCAAGAGCACATTTCTTTGTTCAGCATCCAGTCTTCCCCCCTTCTTCCTCCTATTTTTCCCCCCTTCATTTCAAGTGCGCAGTAGCCACCTGTGGCTAGTGACGACCACACTGGACAGTGCAGATGTAGAACATTCTGATCACTGCAGAAAGTTCTGTTGGACAGTGGTGGGCTATAATATATATACCATATGCATGTCAAAGAATTACCTTTGCTACTTTTGTCCCTAGTGTTCTGCCTTACTAGCAAAGGGTGCTCGGGCCCCTCCCTGGACTTTTGTAGCCCTCTGCCTGAAGCCTTTCCCCATCATTGCCCTGCTCTTTCTTTTGTCTTCATCCTCTCTCTGTTTGTTGTTGTTAATTGCTCTGACTCTTGGTGACCCGTGTACAACAGAATGAGATATTGCCCGGTCCGGCACCATTTTCATGATCGTTGGTATAGTAAAGTCCATTGTTGCAGCTACTGTGTATTTTGAGTGCCTTCTAACCTAGGGAGCTCATCTTCCAGCACTATATCGGACAATGTTCTGTTGTGATCCATATGATTTTCATTGGCTAATTTTCAGAAGTAGATCACCAGGCCTTTCTTTCTAGTCTGTCTTAGTCTGGAAGCTCCACTGAAACCTGTCCACCATGGGTTACTGTGTTGGTATTTATAATGCCAGTGGCAGAGCTTCCAGCATCATACAGCACACGAACCACCACAGTATGACAAGCTGACAGACAGGTGGTGGATCTTGGTCTAGTAGTGTTGATTGCACACCCCCACCACTTCTCATCTCTTGCCACCTTACGCGCCCCCCCACTTTTTTTGGTTGGATTTTTTCTGTACGTTTATATTGTCATTTGATTGATAGCAAATGTTTTGACCCTTTTTTCCCCCCACGCATTTCTAGCCTGTGTAGAACTCTTCTTGCACCTTCCTGAAATTCTGTATGGCCATTTAAATCTAGGTTGATTTTATCTCTTCTTTTTTATGCTTTTGAGTGCCTTCTGCTTAGTTGGAACCATGTAGGGACTTCAGAATTATTTTGATATTCATCCAATCATGGTAAATTGGTTATATCTTCACTGTCCAGTAAGGTAGCTACTAGCCAAATGTGGCAATTAAAGTTGAAATTAATTACAATTAATGCAATGAAAAATTCAGTTTCTCAGCTGCAGTAGCCACATTTCAGGTGCTCATTAGCCACGTGTGGCTAATGATGACTATATTGGACTATGCTGATGTACGACATCTTCATTCATTGCAGAAAGTTCTGGATAGTGTTGGGCCATAAGACATATACCACATGCATGTCAAAGAAATACCTTTGCTATTTTTTTCTCCCTAATGTTCTAATAGTTTTGATGATCCTGGTTAGTGGTCCTCATCTTCAGGGGGCAATTCAGAATCGGGGTGACTGTAAATGAAGCGAGGTACATACATGAAAAGTGTAATAAGTAATTTGTTTTTGGGTGTTTGGAGTATAACTTGTAACCGGACTTTTCTCTGTACAGGAAGCGCGACAGCTGTGTCCTGTGTTGTTTGTCTGCTTTGAGGTAATTTGGCTGCAATTTTTCTTTTTAGGTGCTAAGCGATGGCGCTTGTGGGGCTCAGCCTGGCCTGAAAATCAAGTGCCCCCGGCACTGGAAGAGCCGACCCTGACTCCTGGGCTCCTCGCTTGAATAGGCCTTCACTTCCAGCCACCCCAGTCCAACGGCTGTGCAAAACCAGTTCTTTTCTCTTAATGATGGGTGTTGGTAAGAACACGACATCCAAGTCGATGGAGGCTGGAAGTTCAACAGAAGGCAAATATGAAGATGAAGCGAAGCACCCTACTTTCTTTACTCTTCCGGTAATGATACTCCCTGTCTTCCTTTCTTCTTAAATCACTCTGAAGTCGTTTCTGTATTGAATCAACATAAGATTAGCTTTAATACTTGTGTTTTCAGTGAAGGTTAAGGCATTTGAAAACCAAGTGCTTTTCCCACGAGCGGGAGTCTTTGGGATCCTGCTGGCTGAACTCCTCTGACTCCTTGGTTTTAGCCCCCACCCCGGGGTCATCTGCTGGGATTAACTCCAGGAAGGAAGGATGTACTGCTGTTAACATTTTAAAACCAGCCAGGTGCTTACTGTGGTTTGGAGAATGTTGAAGGCTTAATTTTATCTCCAAAAATGTGCTTGAAAGATGTAATCCAACTTTAGACTTGTAAAGAGTGAGGATGAATGATTTGTATTGTTTAACCCAAATGCCCATGCTTTGTATTATGGTGGCAGCGTCCAGGGTAGAGGTAGTTTTATCCGAATAAGTGATATCTGTCAGGTAAGGTGGATTGCACACATTCATTATATTCAATACTAATATTTTTTTCCAGATGTAGGATTATGATTTGATGTGTATAAAATTACCTAAAGTGTTGGTTTACAAAAGAAGAAAAACCTCTTTAACGAGAGAGAACTTGCTTCCTGGTGTTTTTCTCTTGGAAATGAGGTTATTGGTAAGGATACCATTCTAGAATTCCTTAAAACGTGGTTTTGGAATTTGCTTCACTGTGGTGTCCCTTAGTAAGAAAGATGTGAACGGACATCTTCAAGTACAGTGGTTGATTTTTACCTTAATTCACAGAGACGTCTTCAACTGATTTTACAGCTGGCATTGTGATTGTTTTTCCCTCTAAAGAGAAGTTTTGAAACAGGATTTTCTGTAATATTGAAAGCTTAAGGCCAACACAGATCTTCTAGAGGAAGAGACAGCATAGTTTATTCACTTGTCGGTTTTTCAATTAGATCAGCTTTGATGAGTGAAAACAGAAGTTGCATGCATGGATATTGATTTGTCTCTGGGGTGGGTTTTCTTTGCCTCATTGGCCCAGGCAGGTTATTCATTGTCACTAAAGACTTGAGCATGCTTCAGCTACCCACCTGCCTTATCATTATTGTCTATAGGGTTTTCAGTTTACCTATCTTAGTATGAAAATTGTGATTTTTTTACAGTCAGCATTGAAAGTCCCCAACATATGCTATCAATTTTTATATTCATGTTGGTTCTTGCATCCCATTCCTTCCCTCTTAGCTCACTTTTCTTGCTAAAAGACATCGAAGGTCTATGGGTGGTTATTGTCTTAGTCTTTGTACACCTGGAAATAACTGTATTTTGATCTTAACTCTTTTTTTAATTTTTGGTGAAAATGTATACAGTTGATCATAGACCCTGTCTTAGTCTTCTAGTACTGCTCTAACGGAAATACCACAAGTGGACGGCTTTAACAAAGAGAAATTTATTTCTTCACGATAAAGCAGGCTAAAAGTCCAAATTCAGGGCGTCAGCTCCAGGGGAAGGCTTTCTCTCTCTGTTGGCCTTCTCATCAATGTTCCCCTGGACTAGGAGCTTCTTCGCGCGGGGACCCCGAGTCCAAAGGATGCGCTCTGCTCCTAGCACTGCTTTCTTGGTGGTATGAGGTCCCCCCTGTCTGCTCACTTCCCTTTCCTTTTGCCTCTTGTAAGATAAAAGGTGGTGCAGGCCATACCCCAGGAAAACTCCCTTTACATTGGATCAGGGATGTGACCTTAGTAAGGGTGTTACAATCCCACCCTAATCCTCTTTAACGTAAAATTACAATCACAGAATGGAGGACAACTACATAATACTGGGAATTATGGCCCAGCCAAATTGATACGCACATTTTTGGGGGGACATAATTCAATTCATAACAGACCCATTCAACAATTTCTGCGTGTACAGTTCAGTGACGTTGGTTACATTCTTCACATTCTATGACCGTTGTCCCTATCTCTCCCCATATTATCTTACCACCATTGACTTAGACTCACTACCCCATAAACTACTCAGGTATATTTTAGAGTTACTGTTGTCAGTTTGATCTCATATAGATAATTCTTTAAAAGAATGCAATGCTCAAGGCAAACATTCTTTACTAATTCAGCTAAACTGTTGGTTAGTTTGCACATGATTTCCGGGGAGAGTTTTTGTTCAGAGTTCAAAAATTTTCTCAGGGCAGCAGATTCGGGGGTTCCTCCAGCCTCAATGGGTCTAGTAAGTCTGGGTTCTTTCTATAAGAAATTCGAAATTCTGTTCCACATTTTTTCCCGTTTTTGATCAGGATACATCTGTTGAGTCCTTGATCAAAATGTTAAGTAATGGTAGCTGGGCACCATCCAGTTCTTTTGGTCTCATGGCAATGGAGGCTGTAGATTGTGGAGGCGGTAGCTCATGGGGGCAACTAGACCTGAAGTCCAGTATGATTTAATTGCTCTAGTTGATGTCCCAGCAGGAGCAGAGTAGGTCTCCGTTTCCCTTTAGCCACCTGTGTGAGCATCTCATTGAGTCCAGGTGATTCTGGGTTTTTTTTTTTTCCCTTACAATATGGCCCCTCAGTGCATCGGCAGAGGGTATTTTAGATTGTAGGATGGTACTCCTAAGGGATTTTCAAAGGTGATTTTAAAGATAGGTGATTTTTACTGACTTTAAAATATATCTCCCAAATAAAATTGATTCTGCTGTAAAGAGAGACATGTGGGTGGAGGGGGGGAGTAGAGAGCTGGGAAGAGGACTGTCAGTGATACTGGGCCCCAGGGGCAGTGGCACTGAAATGTACCTCATTTGGAAACTATCGAGATGGTAGAGAACACAGTGCAAGGATCATTGGCCTGAGCCAGGTCAGAGCAGCAAAGTCCGTGCAGTTCTGCTTGGCAGAAGAGAGAGAAAGGGAGGGGTGTGGGGACAATTTTAGAACAGTGCTCAGAGAGCCTAGATTCTGGGTGGTTCTTGAATGATGGGCTAAGTCTCCAAGTTTCTGTTCTGTCAGTTGAAAGCTTTTCAAGGGTTTTGATCAGGGGAAAATCCTGATAGGTCATGCTTTGGGAACAGTGAAGAGTGATCTGGGAATAGTGTAGAGAGTGAACTGGTGTTGGGTGCAGATAGGAGAAGGAAGAACAAATACCTGTTGCAGACATCATTTAGCAAATACTTATTGAGCACATGCTGTGTCAGGATCTGTGTATAAAACTTTACAACTTACTTACTCTGTTTTCTCTCTCAAGTAGAAAGTGAGCCAAAAGCACTGGTCGGGTGATTCCAGCACTGTAGGGTGAGTGCTGCAGTGGGGGTTCCTACAAAGTGCTGTGGGAGCCCATGGGAAGGCCTCTTGATTCTTTTTTGGGGTGATTGGTTGGAGTAGAGGAGGGTTAGGACAGGGAGAGCCAGAGGGACCTAGAAGGTACCAGAGGCTTGAACTTAAGTGGGCAGTGAGAATGGAGGCAAGACTGATAGATGTGATGCCCAGGAGGTTTTTTTTTTCTCAAATAATAATTATTGTGTTTTCAGTGAAGGTTTACACAGCAGTTTAGGCTATCGTTCAGTCAATTTCTACACAAGTTGTTCAGTGACATTGGTTTCATTCTTTGTGCTCTCTGGTTGTTCAGTTTCCATTAATCTACTTCCCCTTCCCCCTAACATTTTCATCTTTATTTTAAAGACCATTTGGTGTCTTAATATAGGTAATTTTTTAAGGGAACACAGTACTTACGGGTGATGTTCATGATTTTGTGAGCCAACTTGTTATTTAGCTACAAAGTGACTTCAGGGGTTAGTTTCGGTTCAGGTGGGCTGAGTGGGCCGCTGAGAGAGATGGGGGAGGTATCTCATCATTAGAGATTCTCTTAGGCCTCCTGGGCTGAGTAAGTGATGCATGGGTTGGAATTGACTCGATGGGAATTGGTAAGATATTATTAATAACTGTTGATTTTTAACTCATGTGGAAGAGAATGAGTTTCTTCAAACAAAATAAAACAAGCATAACAATAATAAAAAAAAGAATAAATCCATACATAGAGCAAGAGTATCAAGTCTCAAAGTAAGAACGGGAGACACAGACATGCAGAGCTCTGGGAGTCATAGAAGTTAAACCATATGACCAGAGTTGATATTGAATAGGAGGAACATAGCAAAAGATCTCCCCCCATCCCATAGGAATCTTGTTTGGCAAATGTGTGTGCTTTTAAAGGCAGCTAGAAATATGTCATAGGGGTGAATGCAGCGTGGCAAGAAATTAGAACTAGAAAAGCATAGCAAGAAGTCTTGAGGAACTGCCATACCCAAAGAACATCAGCAGGGAAGTGTAGCCAGGAAAAAATCACGTGTTTGCTCCCAGTTTTCTTATGTTGGGAGCTATCATATCATCTGAACCTGGAAGGGCATCCAGAGGAAACTAAGTTACTAGCCTAAACTTGGCACTGAGAAGGTCGGGTTTGAGTAAAGGAATTGAAGGAAGCCCTTTAGGACGTTGTGTGGGCGACAGGTGGGAGTGTGCCTGGTGTGTCTGAGGAACCACAAGGAGGTGGTGTTGTGTCAGATGGGGTGGGGCGGGAGTTGTCAAAGGAGATTATGTAGGCTTAACGGGCCCTGGTAAGGGTTTTGGATTTTTCTGGGTTGGATGAGAAGCTGTTAGAGACCTTTGAGCAGAGGAGTGACACGCTCTGGCTAGTTTTAAAAGAATCCTTCAGGCTGCTGAGTGGGGAGCAGACTGAAGAGGGGAAGCCAGAGACCAGTTAGGAGTTGCCGGCCATAGTCCAGGGTGACATGATGGTGGCTCAGGCCAGGGTGCTACTGGTATAGAGGTGGTGATTAGTGGTCTGCAGAGGAGGAGAGCTGACTGGATGTGCCAATGGACCAGGTGGAAGTGGGAGCAAAAGAGGAGGCAAGGATAAGTTTAGGCATTTTCTTGAGCTTCTGGAAGATGGATTTGCCCAGTCCTGAGATGGAGGAAGACTGGGATGAGCAAGTTGGGGTCAAGGGGAGTCAAGAGTTTGGTATTGGCTGTGTAGATATCCAAGTGGAGGCATTGGGTAGGAAATTGAGTTTGAGATCGTGGCGTTCAGGGGAGAAGTCTGGGCTGGAGCTTTTCATTGGCAGTTTGCAGCAAAGAGATTGTATTCAAAGCCATGGACTTTGACAGCAAGTCTGAGGGCTCAGCTTTGAGGATCTGCATTGTTTAGTGATCTGGAGGCTGAGGAAGGACCAATAAAAGGGACTAATAGGAGTGGCTAACGAGGCAAGAGGGGAACCAGGACAGCCCCGTCCTAGAAGCCAAGTAAAGAAAGCATTGTGAGGGCAGGTTAGATGAGGAATAAGGATCTACCATTGTGTTTAACAGGAGTTGGTTGGGTGTTTGTGCCAGCTGAGTATCAAAGAGGGCAAAAGGGTTGAAAGTTTGGCAAAAGTGATTATAATGACTCTGTGTGGAGTAGGAAAGGAAGTGAGGACAACACAGTGAAAAGGCTGTCGGGTCAAGGATTTGGCAGGCCTGGTGAGGTCAAAGTCATGTGGGAAGAGGTGCTTGGGGGGAGTTAAGTAGGAAAGACAAGTGGATGAAGAGTGGATGGCCTAGGAGAGGTGGTTGTAAAGAGGTAAGTCTGAGCAGACTTGGTGTTGAATTGATGTGGATGGTGAGGTATGAAGAAAAGTCAAGAATGACTTGAAGGTGTCAGGATTGGATACCTGGATGTATGGTGCTGAACTAAATACTGTTGCAATAAGAAACAAACAAACGAAAAACAAAGTTTGTTTGTTTTTTTTTAAATTGGTGTGCAGAAGTAATGAGTTAATAGACTACAGAACTGAAGATTCTGCTCTTTCATGGTGCTATGTGTTCATTTATAGTCAGAAAAGTACTGATTCCTTTGCGTATGTGAAATCCTTTCGCTCTTGTCTTCTACCAGCCAAAGGCAGAGAATCTGGAATCATTTGGGAGCAGGTCTTCCCATTTTATTCCTGAGAAGGAGCTGGCTGAAATCTGAACACCATTTACATTGGCAGCTTCTAGCACAGAAAAGAGTTTCCTAATTAAATAGTTAGGAAGAAGTTTTAAAAATGTCAAACACAGGCATTGTAACCAGAGGGACTCCGCTTGTGGGTTTGCCCAGAGCAGTCCCTAGTTTATGCCTGTTAGTCCTGCATATTTATGAACATAGTTCCCCGTTACTCTCACAAGGGCCCTGTTTGGATTATAAATTATATGGGCATATCAATAACATAATATTGAAGCTGTCAAGGATTTCAGTTTACTTGGATTCACAATCAATGCCCATAGAAGCAGCAATCTAGGAATCACATGACATATTGCATTGGGCAAATCTGCTGCAAAAGACCTCTTTTAAGTGTTAAAAAGCAAAGATAACACTTTAAGCACTAAGGTATGCCTGACCCAGCTGTGATGTTTTCAGTCACCTTATATGCCTGGGAAAGCTGGATAATGAATAAGAAGACCAAAGAAGAATTGATGCCTTTGATTTACGGTTTTTGGC